GGTTGAACATAAATATTAAGTACAAATTTTAGGAACTGTAACCATTTTTATACACAGTCCCTCCATTTTCAGGGGCTCAAATGTAATTGGAAAAATGAATATAATCCATAAATAAAATGTTCATTTTTATATTTTGTTGAGAATCCTTTACTGGCAATGACTGCCTGAAGTCTGGAACCCATGGGCATTACCAAAGACTGGTTTCCTCCTTTTTTGATGCTTTGCCAGGCTCTAACTGCAGCTGTCTTCAGTTTTTCTTTGTGGGTCTTTCTGCCTTTTTAGTTTTGCCTTCAGTAAGTGAATTGCATGCTCAATTGGGTTGAGATCAGGTGATTGACTTGGCCATTGCAGAATATTCCACTTCTTTTCCTTCAAAAGCTCCTAGGTTGCTTTTGTAGTATTTTGGATCAATGTCCATTTGTACTGTGAAGCGCCGTCCAATCAATTTGGCTGCGTTCGGCTGAATCTGGGCTGTCAGTATATCTCTAAACACTGCAGAATTCATCCAGCTGCTTCTGTCACATCATCAATAAAAACCAATGACCCAGTGCCACTGCATGCCCATGCCATCACACTGCCTCCACCATGTTTTACAGATGACGTTGTGTGCTTTGGATCTTGAGCTGTTCCAAGCTTACTCCACACTTTTTTTTTCTTCCCGTGATTCTGGTACAGATTAATCTTAATTTTATCCGTCCAAAGAATGCTTTTCCAGAACTGGTCTGGCTTTTTTTAGATATTTTTTGGCAAAGTCTAATCTGGCTTTTCTGTTCTTCAGGCTTATGAATGGTTTGCACCTTGTGGTGAACCCTCTGTATTTGCTCTCGTGAAGTCTTCTTTTGATTGTAGACTTTGACAATGATACGCCCACCTCCTGGAGAGTGTCCTTCACTTGTCTGGATGCTGTGAATGGGTTTTTCTTTACCATAGAGAGGATCCTGCGATCATCCACCACTGTTGTCTTCTGTGGATGTCCATGCCTTTTTATGTTGCTGAGCTCACCCATGCGTTCTTTCCTCAGAATATACCAAACTGTTGATTTGGCCACTACTGATGTTGCTGCTATCTCTCTGATGGATTTTTTTTTTTTTTTTTTCGTTTTTAAGCCTTACAATGGCCTGTTTAACTTGCATGAACAGCTCCTTTGAACGCATGATGTAGGTTCACAGCAATAGATTCCAAATGCAAATACCACACTTAGAATCAACAACAGACGTTTTATCTGCTTAAGAAATAACGAAGGAGTAGCCCACACCTGGCCATGAAAAAGCTTTTGATTCAATTGTCCAATTACTTTTTGTCCCTTGAAAAATGGGGGATGGCTACTCTTAAGAGCTTTAATTCCTAAACCCTTCCTCCAATTTGGATGTACATACCCTGAAATTAAACCTGAGAGTGAGCACTTTTCAGCCCATATCCATCATATAACTATAGCTTGAATATGTTTTGGTAAATACCTCAAAAAAAAAATAAAATTGTGCCTATGTCCAAATATATATGGACCTAACTGGTGGTGTGTGTGTGTGTATGTATATATATATATATATATATATATATATATATATCCAGAGATGTTGAATTTGTATTGCCCAACGCCCGGGACATGTAGTTCTGGGCACTGGGCAGGTAAGTTTTTTGTTTACCTTTTTAGCCCTGCTGCGGGCAAGCAGCAGGGCTCCCCTGTCAGGTGGAAGCATTCGGGCACCGCCGATTGCTTCCACACTCAGTGCCAGCCTCCACCATCGAGGCTGAGAAAGAATGTAATGCAGTGCACATCGCACTGCATTACATTCAGGGTAGGGACCCTGGATGTCTCAAAGAGAACCTGTCACCAAAAATCATCAGATAGGGGACTTTGTCACCTATGTGATGAAAAGTAAAAAGAAATACAATAGCAAGTTACACCCAAGCACATAACATCCTCCACCACCACCCCAAAAAATTGGGGCCCCACCCCCTCATATACGCATGTACAAATGTAAGTACACACTGGGGCACCTACACATGAAAACATGGATTGCGATACACGTTCCATATCACCGTGCACGCCAGAATGAGAGCAATAATTCTAGCATGAGACCTCCTCCTTACACTATACTGGACTTTTAAAGTTTTGCCTACAGAAAATATAAGGTACTGAAGTTTGTTGCCATTTCATGAGCGCACTCAAATTTAAGGTTTGGCAAGTTAGATATACATTTACCCTGTGCAACCTCATCTTTTATATTTTACCCAAAAATAGAGTAATTGGGCAATAGGGTATTGCTTTTTTTGTGCCCTAAAATTAACTTATTTTTTACTGAAATTTTGTACTAATATGTGACATAAAAAAAAATTGGAACTACCACTATTTTATTCTCTAGGGTCTCTGCTTTCGGAAAATATCATCAACATCATGTTTGGGGGTTTTATGTAATTTTTGGGCCTAAAATGATTTTTTTAAACTTGTGCAAAAAAACGCAAATATGGCTCTGGCGGTGAAAGGGATAAAGGATAAGCCGGACACTCCCCTTTCCTGATGAGCATCCGCTCATTACTCTGCAAGGTCTCTCTCCTCTCTACTAGTCCTCAGGTGTGGTGCTGGAGACAGGCAGGGAGGGGAGGAGAAGATAAAAGGCGCAATGTTAAAATTATTACACAATTAAGTCGCCATAAAGCCCCTTTCGTTTTTAGAAGTCCCAGACATTCCTAAAATCACTTCCGATTTTAAATACGGTTTTGGTTAAAATTAATTTTTTTTTTATCATCAGGACAAGTAGATTGGGCACCGATTTAGTCCCTGTACAAGTAGTTTTTGCAAAAATTTCCACACTCCTGAGTATAGCATCAAGTCAATGAGTCTGTTTAGTTAAGTAGTGTATAGGGATAAATGTGATCCTTACTATCTCCTCCATCATAACAGTACATCTTAATGAAATAACTGTAATAAAAGTGTTCAATTATATCATAAGTACATGAGTGTCTTAGAGTAAGGTCCATTACACTAGTAGTGGCTATTATTATTATGCATATATACATATACACAATTATAAGTTGATATATATAACATTTAATATAAATTGCATTTTTCTATTTGTAATAAGCAGCTAAAATGGCGTCTGAATCATTTCTGTTTTCTTAAACACATGTTCCTTTTGATCCACTATACATACAGGTGTTGGTAAACTGATAAGTAATGATGGGTGTAGCCTGTGCTAAAGAAACCCTATAAAAATGTGAACTGTGTTCAACTCAATCAGAGCACTAGGTGGCCAGAGGGCGTGCTCTCATACAGCTGTATCTTCACCAATAAATATATAATTTGGAGCTCTCGTGCTGACAGGTTGATCATTTCAGGTTGAAACCACAAAATTGCATACTCAGTAGCAGAGGGGTTTGTTAATCAGTTTCAGCTGCTTTGGTGTTAATGAAATGAACAGGTGCACTAAATGGGCAACAATGAGATGACACCCAAAACAGGAATGGTTTTACAGGTAGAGGCCACTAACATTTTTTCTCTTCTCATTTTTTCTGACTGATTTTCACTAGTTTTGCATGTGGCTAGGGTCAGTGTCACTACTGGTAGCAGAGGTTGCACGGGCAGTCCCAACTCCTCCAGGATGGCACATCAATACGTGCCATTGCCAGAAGGTTTGCTTTGTCTCACAGCACAGTCTCAAGAGCATGGAGGAGATTTCAGGAGACAGGCAGTTACTCTAGGAGAGCTAGATAGGGCCGTAAAAGGTCCTTAACCCATCAGCAGGACCAGTATATGCTCCTTTGTGCAAGGAGGAACAGTTTGAGCACTGCCAAAGCCCTACAAAAATGCCTCCAGCAGGCCACTGGTGTGAATGTCTCTGACCAAACAATCAGAAACGGACTTCATGAGGGTGGCCTGAGGATCTGATGTCTTCTAGTGGGCCCTGTGATCACTGCCTGGCACCATATAATGCGATTGGCATTTGCCATTGAACACCAGAATTGGCAGGTCTGCCACTGGCTCCCTGTGCTTTTCACAGATGAGAGCAGGTTCATCCTGAGCACATATGACACGTGAAAGGGTCTGGAGAAGCCATGGAGAACATTATGCTGCCTGTAACATCGTTCTGCATGACCGTTTTTGTGGTGGGTCAGCGATGGTCTGGGGAGGCATATCCATGGAGGGACACACAAACCTCTACAGGCTAGACAATGGCACCCAGACTGCAATTGGGTATTGGGATGAAATCCTTGGATCCATTGTCAGACCCTACACTGGTGCAGTGGGTCCTGGGTTCCTCCTGGTGCGTGACAATGCCCGGCCTCATGCGGCGAGAGTATGCAGGCAGTTCCTAGAGGATGAAGGAATTGATACCATTGACTGGCACCCACGCTTGCCTGACCTAAATCTAATAGAACATCTCTGGGATATGTTGGGATATGAGAAAAATCAGACATGTATAATGAAGAATCGAAAAATTATAAATTTTGATGGCTTTGTTCAACCCTACATATTCTGTGCTAATCAAAAAGATTTGGTGTAGTGGCCATTTATAAATAACAGTAACCCAAGTAGAATGCGGTTGCTGTTTTGAGACTTTGCCAACAGGTTGGTTGGCAGTATTGGGCCCTTACCATCTGTTATGAAGACTATGGGGCTGATTTATTAAAGGTAAAATACTGTGCACCTGCAAGTGCATTTCAAATGCACTGCAAGTGCATTTGCTTTATATCGGAGGGGAAGCTCTGAAATGTGATTATTTGCCGATTTCTATTCATCCAATCGTGCAAGCAAAAATGCTGTGGGTTTTTTTTTTTTTTTTTTTTAATTTTACTTGCATGTTCCCCTAAGATCTAGAGCAACTGCGCTGTCCATGCACTTGCAATGCATAGACTATTTACCTTTAGTAAATCAACCCCAGTATGTGATTCTACACACAATGCTGACTTGCTTTTGGTTATTAATGTAATACTCATCACATCATTGAAGTTATAGACAAAATCTGCTTTCTAATCAATCTGTGACTTTTTTCCTTTCCTAGGATTCTGGTGATTTACGTGCAGTTGATGAGTACCCTGCCTTATCAGAGTATGATCCACATGCTATAACTGGAGTCCCAAAGAAGATGTTCATTGTGCGTGCTAGAGGGCTACCTTGGTCTTGCACTGCAGAGGATGTGCTTAATTTTTTTTCTGGTATGTATTCCAATATGTTCTACTGTTAGGTTTGGAAAGAGGAGTTTAGAGGATATCCAAGCATCTCTCTAGTCCATCAACATCTAACAATCACGCTGTTTTTTACACCAGTTAACCCTGAGTTGGGTTGTTCCTCACCCCTCAGTACACATAAACAAATGGTAAGGATGCTGGTGATGTAATTGGCCTTTTATTACCAACCCATTGCCCATATTTAGTCAGTGTTCTTTAGTTCAGTTTTTCCCCTACCGTCTTTCAGGCCAGCACTCTGAGAGACCTCGGCTCCTCCCCATCTGAGGAAACACCTCCACCTACAATAAAAAAGCTCCACTTCCCTCTGACCTCAGTTCAGGTGTTTCCTCCGGTGGGGAGACACGAGGAGGCGCAGGAAGACGATAGGGGAGCCGAGGGCCGGATAGCCGGCTGTGAGGCCTGACGCAGCCGGGAGTGAAGGCCGGAGTGTCCCGCTGCATATCCTCCCAGGGCAGGCTGCCAGCAGTGAGAGTGCATCCCGGGGGACGGGACAGGGCACTTACCTGCTCTTCGCCCCCCGACATCCTCCAGCGAGGGGGGCGTCGGGGTGGCCGTGGTGAGGTCTGGGGAGGATCGGGGGGAGTTCCGCTCCTTCCCATGCTGGCGGTCTGAGGGCTTTGCCGGGCCGGACGTCGGGAGACGGCGGTTTCCGGCAGAAGGGGCGGGGCTTCGCCCAGGACCGCGACTTCCGCTTCCGGTCACGGCCTTCACACCACGGCGGCACGAAATTCAAAAATGGCGGTGCGGTGCACAGCGGTCTGGGGGACAGACCTGCACCAGGCGACCACCCTCCGGTACGGGATGTCGGAGGCACCGGGACCAGGAGATGCCAGCACCAGCCAGTCACAGGTAAGGTGCCTCAGTGGAGGCCTCCCCTACCTGTGGGCCCCTAGCAGTGGGAAGGTAGGGCAAGGGGTCTGCGGTTTTTCAGGCCCTTGTTTGCTCTGCCGGGAAGCAGTGGGGGGGGGGGGGTGTTTAGTGTCGGACTGATTGGGCTTCCCTCCTCCCCCCTTTTTCTTTTGTGTCTTTCAGGGCAAGGCCCGAGCTAAACTTACGCACCAGGAGCCCAAGCGGAGATGCCCTTCCTGTAAGGAAGTTTTAAAAGAATCTTGGCGAAAGGTTCTTTGTGGCCCATGTATACAGGGGTTGGTGAGGGAGGAGAAGCCGGAACAGGGGGACCTAGCCAGGTCAGTGAAGGAGTTGGCTACCACCTTCGACTCCTTCAAGTCCCTCATGGAGAGGTTTGCCCTCCCATTACCTACACCCCCCCCCCCCCCCCCCCCCCCCCCAGGTGGCTTCGGTGAGTCGTCGGGAACCCCTTATGACCGGGGAGGAACCAGTGGGGGACTCCCAGTCTGAGGAGGAATCAGCGGGTGAGGGTCCCTCGGAGGAAGGGAGGGGCCCCTCCCGGTATAAGTTGACCCTAGAGGAGGTTGATGAGCTCCTGGGGGCTATATACGAAACCCTGGACATTAAGGAGGAGGTTAAGGCCTTATCTCTCCACGACCAAAAATGTATCAGGGATTGGAGGAGCACCAGCACAGAATGTTTCCTGTGCATGACATTTTGGTGGACACGATTAAGAAGGAGTGGCAGGACCCGGAAAGGAAACCGTTCTTCTCAAAAGCGTTGAGAAGGAGGTTTCCGTTTTCGGAAGACCCGGAGGCGGTCTGGAACAAGAGCCCCAGGCTAGACGCGGCCTTTTCCCAAACGACCAGGAGAACTGACCTAGCGTTTGAGGACATGGGGGTCTTACCAGACTTATTGGACAGAAGGGCGGAGTCTCTCCTTAGGAAGGCCTGGGACTCGACCCTGTACAACCTGAAGCCGGCCATGGCTACGACAGTGGTAGCCAGGAACTTAGAGTATTGGCTTACGCAATTACAGGCCCATATTGTGGCAGACTCTCCCAAGGAAAAAATCTTGGCCTCTTTTGAGACCCTTTTGCAAGGAGTGGGGTATATTGCGGATGCTTCCGCAGAGTCGGTGAGATTGGGGGCCAGGTCTGCTGCCCTGACCAATTCAGCCAGAAGGGCGCTGTGGCTAAAGACATGCAGGGGGACATCACTTCAAAAGTTAGGTTATGCGGCATCCCCCTCACAGGAGACTGTCTGTTCGGCCCGGGGTTGGAGGAATTATTGGACCGGACAGCTGATAGGAAAAAGTCCTTCCCCCTCAAGAGGAAAATGCAGGAGGGGGGGACACGGAAGGCCCGCCCGGCAAAGAGGCTGAGCCTGCGACCGCCTGGTCAGGGTAGGTCGGCTGGACAGAGAGGTAGGGGAAGAGGGGGAGCGATTTTTCGCCCTCCTGAGCAGCCCCAAAAACCAAGGTGACTTGGTTCCTCCTGTGGGGGGAAGATTGGCGGCATTCCTCCCACAGTGGGAAGCCGTGGTCACCAGCCCCTTCATTTTGGATGTCATCCGAAGGGGTTACCGGTTAGAATTTCTGAGACCGCCACCCGAGACTTTTCTGGTGACGACCCGTCCAAGGGATCCGACGAAGGACGCGGCTCTGGTGGGCGCTTTGGAGATTCTAGAGTCCCAGGGGGTCATCTCCAGGGTTCCAGTAGCGGAGCGAGGGAAGGGAGTTTATTCCCATGTGTTTGTGGTTCAAAAGCCGTCTGGGGCGTTCAGACTGATTTTGAACCTGAAACCCTTGAACAAGTCAGTGCATTACCGGAGGTTCCGCATGGACTCCATTTTTACAATCAGGTCCCTAATCCCACCAGGTGCATTCATGGCATCCATAGACTTGAAGGACGCCTACCTACACGTGCCCGTGGCGGAAGCCTCTCAGAGGTTCCTCAGGTTGGCAGTGGGGGGGGGAGGAAGGAATTCGACACTGGCAGTTCAGGGCTCTTCCATTCGGCCTTTCCTCCTCGCCAAGAGTATTCACCAAGGTTCTGTCGGAGGCACTGATTTCTATCCGCTTAAGGGGGATTTCAGTGGTGGCCTATCTGGACGATTTGCTGCTCTTCGCGGATTCAGAGGCTCACTTACGGCAAGACCTGGTTATAGTGAGGAACCATCTGGAAAGCTTGGGGTGGATTTTGAATCTGGAGAAGTCCTGCCTGGTGCCTTCTCAGAAGGTGATTTACTTGGGCTACACTCTAGACTCGGTAGACCAAAAGACCAGCCTGACTTTGGAAAAAGTCACCAAGTTGGAGGCCGGAGTCAGATTACTGCAGGGGAGCAGGTCGATGTCCATAAGACAGGCCATGTCGGTACTTGGATTGCTGACAGCGTCCATTCCGGCGGTTCAGTGGGCAGGTCTGCATATGCGTCCCCTCCAGTTGTGGATCCTGAGGGTTTGGGACAGGAAGTGTCACTCCCTAGAACGCAGGGTCTTGGTGCCCCCCAGTGTGAAAAGGTCTCTATGGTGGTGGAGGAGATCGTCCAGCATAACTCAGGGGCTGTTGTGGTGCTTTCCGATTTCCGTGGAGGTCACTACGGATGCCAGCGCCAGGGGCTGGGGAGCCCACCTGGGAAATTTGGTGACTCAGGGGGAATGGTCCTTAGGGCAGAAGGGCAAATCCTCGAATTGGAAGGAATTGAGGGCAGTGTGGGAGGCTCTGCACTCCTTCCAGGCGGGGGTCACGGGCCAGCACGTGCGTGTCCTGACGGACAATGCCACGGCAGTGGCTTATATAAACAGGCAGGGAGGGACGCGGAGCAAGGCCCTCGGGGCCTTAGCGGCGACACTGTTGTCCTGGGCAGAGCTGAATTTGGCGTCCCTGTCTGCGATGCACTTAAAAGGGGAGCTGAACCAGAAGGCAGACTTCCTGAGCAGGACTCGGCTCAGGGAGTCGGAATGGGCCTTGAACCCCGATGTCTTTCAGGAGATTGTGCGAAGGTGGGGATCCCCGGATGTGGACCTTTTTGCCTCCGGAAGGAACAACAAGGTCCCAAATTTCTTCTCTCTATCCCGCTGGGACGGGTCCAGAGCGGTGGACGCATTAGGTCAGAGGTGGGACTACCGGCTTTGTTATGCCTTTCCCCCGGTTCCTTTGCTCCCCCTGGTCCTGAGGAAATTCAGGACAGAGGGGACCTCGTTAATCCTGATAGCTCCCTTCTGGCCGCGGCGGGCGTGGTTTGCGACCCTAAAGAGTTTGGCCTCTCGTCCACCCTGGGAGCTGCCACCAAGAGAGGATTTGTTAACACAGGGGCCGGTTCTTTGCCCCAGCGTAGGAAGATTGCGGTTAACGGCCTGGTTTCTGAGCAGCAGCTCCTCTTAGAGAAGGGGTTCTCGCCTAGGGTGGTGGCGACATTACTGGCCAGTAGGAAGGAGGAGACCCAGGCCATTTATGGTAGGGTCTGGGGTTGCTTTACAGCCTGGTGTGACCGGACAGCAGTGGCAACCCATAGTTTGGTTTCCGTGTTGGAATTCCTGCAGGCGGGAGCGGACAAGGGATTGTCTGTCAGCACGCTCAAGGGCCAGGTCTCGGCCCTCAGTGTGTTCTTGGAGACGCCCCTGGCCAGGGAGGCGTTGGTGAGTAGGTTTTTCAAAGCTCTGGTGAGGCAGAGGCCTCCGAGGTCCAGACCATTTCCGGTGTGGGATTTGGCCAAGGTGCTCGGGGGGATGACTAGGGCTCCGTTCGAGCCCTTGGAGTCCTGTCCGATAGGTGAGCTCACCATTAAAACGGCTTTTCTGGTGGCGATTACCACGGCGAGGAGGGTGTGTGAGATGGAGGCCCTCTCGATCAGAACACCTTATCTCCGTATTTTTTCAGACAGGATCGTTTTCAGACCAGACCCGTCCTTCATTCTGAAGGTAGCTCGGAGTTTCCAGAGGGAACAGGACATTGTCCTTCCCTCGTTTTTTCCTGACCCGGTGGGGGTAGATCAGGAGAGGTATCATTGTTTAGATGTCAGAAGGTGCGTTCTCCAGTATCTAGAGAAATCTAGGGAGTTCAGAAGCACCGAATCCCTTTTTGTTTTTTTTAAGGGGGCTAGAAGAGGCAAGAAGGCGTCTAGAAGGACGCTGGCCAGCTGGCTGCGGCTGGCGATTGCAGGAGCGTATCAGGCAGAAGGCCTGGAGGTCCCGGAGGGTATCAAGGCACATTCCACCCGAGCTGTGGCGGCTACCCAGGCAGAGTTAGCAGGGGTTTCCCCAGGGCAGATTTGCAGAGCGGCAACATGGTCCAGCTATGACACATTTGCCAAGCATTACAGACTGGACCTGGTCTCGGTGCAGGAGCAGGACTTTGGTCGTAAGGTCTTACAAGCAGTTAGCCCGCCCGAAGGGTGAGTACTCGCTTATCCTCTCAGAGTGCTGGCCTGAAAGACGGTAGGGGAAAAACCAAGTTACACTTACGGTAACGTCTTTTCCAGGAGTCTTTCAGGCCAGCACCGGTTTCCCACCCACTGTTGATATTGGTTATGTGAAGATGGCTTATTATGATTATGTTGTCTCGCATTGTGTCTCCCCAGATGACCGGAGGATGCTTGGAGAACTGAGGTCAGAGGGGAGTGGAGCTTTTTTATTGTAGGTGGAGGTGTTTCCTCAGATGGGGAGGAGCCGAGGTCTCTCAGAGTGCTGGCCTGAAAGACTCCTGGAAAAGACGTTACCGTAAGTGTAACTTGTTTTTTTTTTTTAACTTAAATTTTTTATTTGATTTTTATAGTTTTCACAAGTGTGTGTGTTTGTGTATGTCTGTCTCTAAATATAGGCCTCTTAAATGATATGCTGTTAAGCAGGGTTGCTTAACCTTTCGAAGAGCACGGGACACCTAAGTGGTTTGGTAAACTAGTCACGGGCCACAATGAAATGAAATTCGTTCAGAATTTGATTTTTTTTTTTTTTTTTTTTTTTTTTATTTGAAATCGCATAATGAAGAATCGAAAAAACAGTCAGGATCATCATTTTCTGTACTTTTTTTGTTTACAAACTGTTTTATTTTGCAAAAATAGACTGTAAAACAACAGTACAGTTTCAAGTGATACAGCAAAAACAAGGCACCTTTGAAAAGTACAATACAGAAAAGTATATCAATATAAGAAAGAGAGGAAATAGAAAAGAGTAGATTGCAAGTACATGAAAAACATAGACGTTAAATAGGTTGAATGATACATCAGTCAACAGTATATGCCAGTCAATCTTCACATGGAATGTTGCTAATCATGCAATAAATGTCTATAGTCCCTCCAGGATTTCCATTTATTATCAAATAAGTGCATCTTATCCAGTAAGGTATAATGAATACGTTCCATGAGCATCACAGCATCAACTCTGTGTAAAACGGAGGCTAAGGGTACAGTATTGGATTTCCAATGTAAGGCAATAGCCCATAAAGTGGCAATACAAATAGTATGTATCAATCTCATAATGGCATCAGAGACCCCCGGTATATGAGCCCCCAACAAACAGGTCTGTATAGACAAACGTACCGGGAAACCAGCCAATGAGGTAGCCAAATCAAAGATATGGTCGGGCAATCCCAGAACGTATGAACCAAAGTACATGTGAGGCCACAGCCCCGGAAACATAAAGGGGACGTTTGAGGGAAAAATACGTGTAGTCTTGATGGGGTATAATACCATCTGGTTAAAACCTTAAGGGCCGTCTCATGAACGGAAAGAGATCTAGAACACTTACATATGTTATCCACCATGGAATCCCAATCCTCATCTGAAAAAGTGATACCACTATCCTCTTTCCATCTTTGTCTATATAGAGGGGGCGTAGGAGAAAAACAGATCAAAAATTGGTGATAAAGATCAGAAATAAGACCCCTACCCCTAGGAGAGTCACGTCTGATATGTTCAAAAAATGAAATCGGAGAAGAGGGTATGAGGCCAAAATGTGAATTAAAAAAATGTCTAATCTGTCGGTAACGATGGTATTCACGAAGAGGAACTTCAAAAAGCACGCGCAGCATGTCAAAAGTTATATAAGATCCTCCTCTTTGAAAATCAGAATATCTAATAAAGAAAATCGATCATACCACCAACGAATTGTTTGAGGGGAAGAAAAAGCTGTAATAAAAGTAGGATCACCAAAAAAATTAAACACCTGGAGCAATAGAAGAAACTAGATTTAATTTAAATTTGTATTTGGACCAAAGTGTCAGTGAATGGGTCACTATGGAGTTATGAAAAGTAAGCAATCGAGGGGAGATTTTGGACCACAAAATACCCGGTAAATAATATGGGCGTATAGACTGAGATTCAAACTTAATCCACGGGATCTGAGAGTTAACAGTTGCCCATCATTTTCTGTACTTTACCTCTGTAACTATATAGTTGTTGCTTTAAGAAATAGTAGTTTCAGATTAGAATTTCTGAAACCGTACACCCAAAATTGTTTTGCCCATACCTATGATTTTTATTTTGTTCGGAAAATGAATTATTAGCTAGTCACTTTTGATGTTTTACTACACAGATGTCTTATGGAAAATGTAGTCACCAAAGGTGAACTTAGTTCACGAGTTGTGTTTTCTTTTTTTTTTTTTTTAATCGTTTTATAATGTATATGATCTTTTCAGCCAGCCTTTTTTATTTATTTCTCCAGAATGCAATGTTTGTAATGGTATAGATGGGGTTCACTTCATCTTCAACAGAGATGGTAAACCACGAGGAGATGCAATCATTGAATTTGAAACAGCAGATGACTTGATGAAAGCTTTGGAACAGCACAAAAAGTACATGGGGCAACGCTATGTGGAAGGTGAGCAGATGACTACTTATTATCTTACTTGCCGTTAGAAGGGTAAAAGCTGTATACATGGGCAATTTTCTAAGCTTTATATTTTGGTGATCCATAAAGATGAATTCTTGTGCAGAGAAACGGCTTTTTACGTAGCATTTTTACTTCTAATGTGGATTATTTACATTACAGTTTAAATTAAAAAAAAAAAAAAAAAAACGTCCAAAACTGCTGCATGTGATTGAACAGGACTTTTGTTTGTTTATAAATTTTAAGCAAACGCAAAGCAAAGTGATTTGAACTGGGTTGGAAATCCAACCAACATCCCATTCAGTTGGTTGGAATAAAGGTGGTTTTGGTCAAATTGCTGTGAACTGATCGACTTGCTGAGATACTTTGGTTTTCCACAAAAAAAAAAGTTGCCATAAGGCAAAAAAGATCTCTAATCATACATAGGTGTTTTTCTTTCCACGTGTGTCTATCTTTTTTGTCTTTTATTACTTCATTTCATTTGTTGTGTTGCAGTTTAAAGTATTATGCCTGAATAGGGAAAATGTAGACTTACTTTTTAAGCAGCCTGTTTGGTATATTGCAGTGTTTGAAATGAGCCTCAAGGATGCAGAGCTACTACTGCATAGAATCCAGACTTCTATGTCACCGACTAGAATGTCATCAATGTCCCAGACTGCACAGGCATTGCCTGCTAGTCCAAATGATGCCACAGTGAGGCTTCGTGGTTTGCCCTTCAGCTGTACGGAACAGGACATCATCAATTTCTTTTCAGGTGACTCCACACTGATTTATGTGCTGATATTGATTTGACAACACACACACACACACACACACACACACACACACACACACACTTTTCTTTTTCTGTGCATTTTGCTAATCTAATGTATTTGGTGAAGATTCCTTGGAGATAGCCCGTTGTCTTTGAAAGAGACCTTACCAATGACAAAGCAAATGTACTCAAACAGTCACTGTCACCTTGCCTATGCAGAGCAAAATGACAATGGCTCTGCAACCGACAAAACCTTTATGCTTGCCTTATTTTGCAGCTCCTTTCGCGTTTGTGGCCAATGATGAAAACCGCAACCCTGGGGAGTAGTGACATCATGTATCAGTGCTTGAGCCTTGACTCTTTGGTTGGAGCACTGTCACAGGTTAGCAGGTAACATGCTCCTCCATACCTGGAAGGTCAGGCTATTTCCATCATATCATGTAAAATGTGTCTGCAAGGCAAGTATAAGGGGTTTGGGGGATGCCTGATGCACGCACACACAATCACTTTTTGTTTTGTTTTGTTTTTTTTTTTTTGTAAATCTGTACTTTGCTCTTGCAAAGCCTATTTCCCAGCAGCACATACTCCTGTCCTTTCACTCCCCCACTGCTGCATTCAGCTGCTGGGATAATAGAGAAATACGTGGCACAACTGGGTGTGGAGGAGTATGGCACTTGTTCACCTTCCTGCCACATGACAACACTGATTCTTATAGATTGGTTCAGTGCAGTGCTGTCACATGAGGGCTGGAAGCTTCCTTCCTTTCTCCTGATGGGTGGGGTGTGCAGAGGTGATCATAGGGAATGTAAGGATATGTGGAGGGGAGGTAGTTAATTGAACTTGTATATTTGCACCGCACAAGTTCACTGTAAAACTATAATTTTTGTAGAGCGCATGGAAAAATAAAACGAAGTTTGTATTGCCAAAAAAAATGATTTGTGCATAGAGAAAAGTGTGGTAAGTTGCAGATACACATCTCTAAAGAAAACCATATACCCCAGTATTCATCCAATCGATATTGCAAAAACATCATCCCATCAGTGATCCCTCTTAAAAAAAAAAAAAAAAAAAAAAATGTTTAGTCTTAAGAATTTCTACAAAAAAGTATACCTATACACTTGTTAAAACTTGCTTAATTTCAGACATGTTAGATACCACTGCCATTTATATTTTCTCCACAGAGGTCAGTGACTTTTCGCATAGTTAAAGCGCTAGCGTGCTGCAAGTAGTTTTAGGGGGCCTCATGAAAATGCATATTGTGCAGGCAGTTAGAGGAAGTTAAAGTGGTATTAAACCCAAAGACAAAAATGTATTGAATTGCAACTTGCCAATTCTTAGATGTAGTAGCTGCATTGATTTTTGTTTTAGGTTTCTTTTGCACCTGGCAATCCAGCCAGTAAGTCTGTTATTTTTTAACTTGCTTTAAGGCTACGTTCCACTAGTGTGACTTGTCATGCAACGGTGTCCAAAGATTTCAATTTGGCCCATTCCAGTATATGCGACTTTGTAAAGGTTCCTGCACTACTTTGATGCAACCTTAGTGCCAGAGAGTGAAAGTCGCAGTTGGTCCAAGTCAAACAGTTTTTATCCTGGAAAAGAATGCTGCTGTAAAAAGTAGATTAAATAAATCTTCATGCTTTACACATTGATGTGTAGGGTCTTGGCATGTGTTCTCTGTGGACAGAGACCAAATAATTTTCTTTTGACAAGAAAAAGATACATTTTTTTTTTAGTTTGTTTTATTTATCCATACCTTCTACAGAATTATAGTTTGCATTGAACTTGTGCAGTGCAAATATGCAAGTTCACCTAACTACCTCCCCTCCACGTATCCTTACATTCCCTTTGATTCCCCCTCTGCACACCCGAACCACCAGTAGAAAGGAAGGACGCTTCCAGCCCTCATGTGAGAGCGCTGGACCAATCAATAAAAAAACAGTGGTGTCATGTGGAGACCTTCGCCAGCAAAAAGATGCATTGCTAGAGGGCACACCAACAGGAGGAAGAGGTTCTGATTCCTCTATATAGATCTTTAGTTAGACCTCATTTAAGAGTACTGTGTCCAGTTCTGGAGGACCTCACTTACAAAAATATATTGACAAGATAAGAATGAGTATAGAGACAAACAACAAAAATGGTGACAGGTCTGAGGGAAAACTTTAAATAAATCAAGGGAGTGAATTCTGATCAGGCAGCATTTTCGATATGAAGCTAAGATCAAGAAAACCGTGATATGACCTCCAACTAACAGGAATAAACTAATCTCAGAAATTATTTTTATTTAAAGAATAGTTGATTGGAATAGACTTCCATAAGAGTCGTTCATCAGTAGGTGGATTCAGATATGCTTGGGACAAACGGATCTATACTTAGACAAAAAAAAAACATGGGCAGACTTGATGGACCATTTGGTCTTTATTTCTGCTGTTGCTCTTCTGTGTGTCTAAAAATCAGGCCATTTTCAAAGACATTTCAAACTGTAAATCTCCCAGCAATCAGCTCTGGTTGGCATGTTAGGGTGCTTCTGCTTTTCGCAGTAGGCAGAAATCTTGTATGCTCTTTTCTAATATAATTTGACAATGTTGTGATGCTATGTTTACAGGACTGAGCATTGCAGATGAAGGGTATAACTTTTGTTTTGGACCAGAGAGGACGTAAATCTGGGGAGGCATTTGTACAGTTTGTCTCACAAGAAAATGCTGAAGAGTCACTTCTGAAACACAAGCAAGAAATTGGCAGCAGGTAATGTTAACGATCTATAAAAGATAGTTATTAAGAGGTTGTAAAATGATTTATCATGTCACCCAATATTTGGTCTCCATTCAGTAGCCAAAAGAGGCATTCAAAAAAAAGGGGGATTTGTGAAAAGAAATTCACAGAGAAAGCGGCTACATTATGAACAGAACGTGACACTCAGAAAAAATTTCCAAAAATTATGCTTTATTACACATATATAAATATGACATATGGGCGTTCGCCCTGGTTTACCATCACCTCAGTATGAGACAATACACACAGACCTAAAACCATATAAAATGACATCAAGACCGGTCTAAATGCATGTGCAACAGAAAAAATGACTGCAGGAGTCTAATGTCCCTGTAGCACAAACACATAGGTGAACACTTCCCAAAAGAGGTGTGTATCCAAAAATTATACCATAGGCATACCATAATGTTAATTATTATATGTAGAACAATACCATTATGGTGAATCCCAATCAGGGAATCCAAAAATTGTACTATGGAAAAATATCACATATATACAATGCAGCAAGCACAATAGGCGTCAAGAAGAGAACAACAAGCCTCAGGCCTGTATGGGGGGAGACATAAATGTCAAATATATGATGCAATTCATTCCTGTGCCGGCACAAGTGGTTGGGGCCCATTCATCTGTAATATAAACAGCTGTATCCTAGAGCTCTTGAATGAAATAATGCCCCATTTATTCCCAGGGTGGAAGAAAAGATGCAAAAGCAGCACTCTGCTAGAAATGGTATCTTCACCACTATATGTGGACTACACACCACCTTTCGTAGGGAAAACAGGACATATCCCAAAAGATCTTCTGCCCGTTGAGATATATATGGTATATCCTGTATCCTATACAAAGCACCATGATGTCCCCATCCTGTAGTGAGATAAATGATATGTGGGAAGTCACTGACAGAGTATACACTCAATAAGATATATAGGTCATATAGATCACAGAGGACCATATATCTAATGTCCTGTAACAGTCCACTCACCACCTGTGCTGTGGGTATTAGGAATGAAAAAGATGTCCTTCATGGGTACTGCCATACACGGCCCACAGAGGCCTAGGAACCACCGCTGACATCCGCCGATATACCGCGGGTTCCAGCCCCTTCTTGGCGCTTGTGCTGCTCACACTTGCCTGACCGGAAGTGACGTATCTGACGTATGACGTCATACGTCAGATACGTCACTTCCGGTCATGCGCATTAGGTGGAACGCACGCTGACCCATAAGGAGGAAGCCATCTTTATATGCCATGAGGCAAGTGTGAGCAGCACAAGCGCCAAGAAGGGGCTGGAACCCGCGGTATATCGGCGGATGTCAGCGGTGGTTCCTAGGCCTCTGTGGCCGTGTATGGCAGTACCCATGAAGGACATCTTTTTCATTCCTAATACCCACAGCACAGTGTGGTGAGTGGACTGTTACAGGACATTAGATATATGGTCCTCTGTGATCTATATGACCTATATATCTTATTGAGTGTATACTCTGTCAGTGACTTCCCACATATCATTTATCTCACTACAGGATGGGGACATCATGGTGCTTTGTATAGGATACAGGATATACCATATATATCTCAACGGGCAGAAGATCTTTTGGGATATGTCCTGTTTTCCCTACGAAAGGTGGTGTGTAGTCCACATATAGTGGTGAAGATACCATTTCTAGCAGAGTGCTGCTTTTTGCATCTTTCTTCCACCCTGGGAATAAATGGGGCATTATTTCATTCAAGAGCTCTAGGATACAGCTGATATATTACAGATGAATGGGCCCCAACCACTTGTGCCGGCACAGGAATGAATTGCATCATAATTTGACATTTATGTCTCCCCCCATGACAGGCCTGAGGCTTGTTGTTCTACTTCTTGACGCCTATTGTGCTTGCTGCATTGTATATATGTGATATTTTTCCATAGTACAATTTTTGGATCCCCTGATTGGGATTCACCATAATGGTATTGTTCTACATATAATAATTAACATTATGGTATGCCTATGGTATAATTTTTGGATACACCTCTTTTGGGAAGTGTTTCACCTATGTGTTTGTGCTACAGGGACATTAGACTCCTGCAGTCATTTTTTCTGTTGCACAATGCATTTAGACCGGTCTTGATGTCATTTTATATGGTTTTAGGTCTGTGTGTATTGTCTCATACTGAGGTATGGTAAACCAGGGCGAACGCCCATATGTCATATTTATATATGTGTAATAAAGCATAATTTTTGGAAATTTTTTCTGAGTGTCACGTTCTGTTCATAATGTAGCCGCTTTCTCTGTGAATTTCTTTTCACAAATCCCCCTTTTTTTTTGAATGTTAACGATCTGCTGGTAGCTAAACTCGGTCAGAAGCTTTGGCCTCATTACTTAAATTATGGGTTGCAGTTATAATAATATATATAATACAAAATATACACAACACTTATTTTTTAATGATCACACTTGCCCACATGCAACCTTATACATCTGTTTGTTCTGTTTTTAGGTATATTGAGATATTTCCAAGCAGAAGAAGTGAAATTCAAAATGCCCGCCTGAATTTTAGAAGAAAGAAAGCTGTTACATTTGCCCCTACCATGAAAGACTTTTATGAACCAGATATCTCCCTTAACCATGCTAGTAAAGATATGCATGCTGATTACTTTTCAGCTGTACAGACCACCAAATAGGAGGTGTAACATGGCTTCACGCTTTATTAAATGTAAAGAGCCGGCTCACACCTTTTAACATCCCCTGCACTCCCTCCTCTCTACACTTCTATAACTAAATTTAAGCCAAATATTTCACAGTTTGTAAATTTTAAGTATTGGTGCTGCCCCCTCTAACCCTTCTGCCCCCTAGGCATATATTTAGGATTGCTCTTATGGTAAACAGCCCCTCATTATCATTAAAATTGTTAAATGTATGTAAAATGGCAGCTAATGTAAGGAATCCTTGCATTGTACCCAGTGTTGATCTCCTTGGTCCCCCAGAGCGCTTGGTGGTTTCACTTGTTGACCTTCATGTCCCCATAGTATACTGTAATGATATTGAGGTTAAAGGGAGAACCAAGGAGAGTGACACTTCCAGAAGAATTTCTTATAAATGGAGTGGCATCCTGACAGCATGAGTAACAAAAATAACTTTCACATTTTTCTCAAATAGGTGTACTTGTACTGGATTTTTTTTTCTTTCTTCTTAAAGGGGGTGTTTTACAGAGTTCCAATTCAGAAAGTAAAGGCAAACGTTCGGTAGTAGTTACTGTAAGGAACTCTCGCCTTTTCCAGAGCCTTGTAAAAAGTATCTGCACATATATTGTGGTATAAAACTCTCTGAACCCCGCCTACGTTTGGATGCATACTACCCTGCCTACTAAGAGACCAGTTACTAGGCCAATGTTCTGTTACCCTGCCTTTTGGGTTCAGAGGTTAATGTTGTGGTGTTTTTTTCAAAAGTGAACACACACAAAAATGTTCACTTAACCATTTGCTAACTGCGCTATAGCCGAATGACAGCTACAGCGCGATTTTCCAATTCTGAGAGGGTGTCATATGACATCCTCCCAGAACGCTCCCTCCCACATGCCCCCAGCACTCTCCATGTTTGCTGTGTCCTACGGACACAGTTGATCACATGATGAGGTAAAAGGCCAATCACAGCAGCAACTAATAACATTTTCCTTGTGAGTTTCACACTTTTTGAACAGTCATTTTGATTCCCTTTGATTAAAATAAGCAGCAACTCCTTTTTCAAGCATTATGTTGATCTGTTTGCTTTTTCAGAGTATGTAAAGGAGATGTCTGGCAAGTGTATGGATTCTCAGGACTTCTCAGTAGGATTACCTGTCCATGATATCCACATCAGAGGGCTCCCATTCCATGTATCTGGGCAGGATATTGCCAATGTAAGTTAACGTTACTTTAGAATAAACCTGGTAAATGGCTTAATATGCTTTTAAAATACATGTGTTTCCCTTCCAATAGTTTTCAAGTTAGTGCAGATCTATAATCACGCAGTTTAGCCAGGCAGTTGACACCTATTTCCCTTTTCCACCTTGCAGCTTCATGTGTCACCTGCCTGTTCATTGGAGAGTAAATCTGCTTCGTTACAGTGCTGATTCATGGTCCATTGACATAACAGGTGACAGATAAACCTGTAAAGCTGAACCTGGAAATAACTGGCACTTGGCTATACACCTCAAAAAAATAATTTAGAAGGTAAATTGGTTTACATTTATTTCTGGCATACCAAGATCCTGGTAGTTAAACGTTTTTGTCAGCTACTGGTGTATGGTGTTACTGGTAAATGTACAATATACGAAGAACTGTGTTTTCTCTTTAGTTTTTCCATCCTGTCATGCCCCTGAAGATTAATATTGAGTTCAGTGCGGATGCAGGGGGTACTTCTGGGGAAGCTGTTGTAAGATTTCTGACTCATGAAGATGCCATAGCTGCCATGGCCAAAAACAGATGTCATATGCGTAAGTCAATCTGCCATCTTCAAAAATTATTTCTACAATGCTTATTGAGTGGTTATTTGTGGTTGCAAATTATATAGTTTCACATCAACCTGTTGATTTAGCCCATTAATATATTTTTGATATACATGTACTTCTATTAGATGTAGCAGGCAGTGCACATATGTCCTACCTTTCCATGAAGGGATTTTCCATGTCCCTATTTCTTTAACTGAACTGTGATCATAGTGAAAAGTTTGGGGTCTGTGGGTACACATGTTTATCAGTCTGTTACAACTGATGGACTATGATCATTTTACAGATCAGTTATGTTAAAGTAGATTTGTCATGAAAAAAAATTATGCTGGCCTACTTCTGAAAATGCTAGCCCCCCCCCCCCCCCCTTCCTGGCTGTGTCTAGCTTAATAATTCTGAGCACCAGATCAAGAATAATTATGCAGTAAATCAGAAATGTAATTTTTTTTTTTTCCATCTTTACTTGTTCTGGGTGCATGATAACTAGCATATTTAGGGTAAAGTAGTCAGTTTTCAATGTGTATGCTGTACATTCTCTGAAGTAATACAAATTCTGTTTGTAACCGTAGCAAAATACGTTAACACAACCCTATACTCTCCTAATCTGTAATATTGTATAGCTTACTGCCTAGTAATGTATTAACAACACTTTACTTTTAGGGCTGGTTCACACCAGTTGCAGTACAGTGCATTTTTAATTCTGCAATAAAAACACATGGACAGTGTTTAATTTTAATGGCCCTAGTTCACACTAGTGCAGTGCATTCCAGTGTACTCAACATCAGTAAAACATGTTGCAGTTTCTGTATGGAATGCAGAAAAACAGATTAAAAATGCATTGGAACACCCCTGTCCTCAATTGAGAAGTAGAAAAATAGGGGAAAATGCATCAAAAAAGCACCGGAACTGATCAACCCAGAAATTGTGGTGTGAACCTACCCTTAATACTGTGTCATTGAATAACCTTGAAACAGTAGCTGGAAAAGTTGACATCCCACTGTAGGAGCCTACAACATACAGGCTGTGTTAACACCAAAAATGAATGTTAACACTGTTGCAAGTTTCATTCATTTGCCTTGAATGCAAGTTATTGCACTGTAGCATTAGACTGAATGCAAAACAGTGCAGGTCCTATTGAAAACATAATATTTCTGATACAAACAAGCCCACAGAGAATTATCCAGTGTTTAGGTGATGCAATAATATAAAGTATTAAATCAATGACTAGAACATTGTGGCTGGTTGAAACCTAAATGCAGGATAGTCAATACTCTTCAGACTATATATATATATATATATATATATATATATATATATATATATATATATATATATATATATATATATAGACGCACGCACGCAAAAAAGTATTTAGTCAGCCACCTAGGTAGACCTCAACTATGAGAGACAAAATGAGAAAAAAAATCCAGACAATCACATTGGCTGATTTGGAAAGAATTTATTTGCAAATTATGGTGGAAAATAAGTATTTGGTCACCTACAAACAAGCAAGATTTTTGGCTCTCACAGACCTGCACCTTCTTCTTTAAGAGGCTCCTCTGTCCTGCACTCATTACCTGTATCAATGGCACCTGTTTGAACTTGTTATCAGTATAAAAGACACCTGTCCACAACCTCAAACAGTGACACTCCAAACTCCACTATGGTGAAGACTAAAGAGCTGTCGAAGGACACCAGAAACAAAATTGTAGACCAGGCTGGGAAGACTGAATCTGCAATAGGCAAGCAGCTTGGTGTGAACAAATCAACTGTGAGAGCAATAATTAGAAAATGGAAGACATACAAGACCACTGATAATCTCCCTCGATCTGGGGCTCCACGCAAGATCTCACCCCGTGGGGTCAAAATGATCACAAGAACGGTGAGCAAAAATCCCAGGACCAGATGGGGGGACCTAGTGAATGACCTGCAGAGAGCTGGGACCAATGTAACAAAGGCTACCATCAGTAACACACTACGCCGCCAGGGACTCAGATCCTGCAGTGCCAGATGTGTCCCCCTGCTTAAACCAGTACATATCCGGGCCTGTCTGAAGTTTGCTAGAGAACATTTGGATGATCCAGAAGAGGATTGGGAGAATGTCATATGGTCAGATGAAACCAAAATAGAACTGTTTGGTAGAAACACAACTCGTCGTGTTTGGAGGAGAGAGAATGCTGAGTTGCATCCAAAGAACACCATACCTACTGTGAAGCATGGGGGGTGGCAACATCATGCTTTGGGGCTGTTTCTCCACAAAGGGACCAGGACGACTGATCCATGTACAGGACAGAATGAATGGGGCCATGTATCGTGAGATTTTGAGTGCAAACCTCCTTCCATCAGCAAGGGCATTGAAGATGAAACGTGGCTGGGTCTTCCAACATGACAATGATCCCAAACATACCGCCTGGGCAATGAAGGAGTGGCTTCGTAAGAAGCATTTCAAGGTCCTGGAGTGGCCTAGCCAGTCTCCAGATCTCAACCCCATAGAAAACCTTTGGAGGGAGTTGAAAGTCCGTGTTGCCGAGCGACAGCCCAAAACATCACTGCTCTAGAGGAGATCTGCATGGAGGAATGGGCCAACATACCAGCAACAGTGTGTGCCAACCTTGTGAAGACTTGCAGGAAACGTTTGACCTCTGTCATTGCCAACAAAGGATATATAACAAAGTATTGAGATGAACTTTTGATATTGACCAAATACTTATTTTCCACCATAATTTGCAAATTCTTTCCAAATCAGCCAATGTGATTGTCTGGATTTTTTTTCTCATTTTGCCTCTCATAGTTGAGGTCTACCTATGATGCCAATTACAGGCCTCTCATCTTTTTAAGTGGGAGAACTTGCACAATTGGTGGCTGACTAAATACTTTTTGCCCCAGTGTGTGTGTGTGTGTGTGTGTGTGTGTGTGTGTGTGTGTGTGTGTGTGTGTGTGTGTGTGTGTGTGTGTGTGTGTGTGTGTGTGTGTGTGTGTGTGTGTGTGTGTGTGTGTGTGTGTGTGTGTGTGTGTGTGTGTATAAAGATATCATTTTTTTTTTTTTTTTTTTTTTCCCCACGAACGGCTTCAGTCAATTTTAAGAGCAATCTACATTTTTTGGTTTCCCCTGTGCGGGACTTGTATTTACATACAGTCAGGTCCATAAATATTGGGACATCGACACAATTCTAACATTTTTGGCTCTATACACCACCACAATGGATTTGAAATGAAACGAACAAGATGTGCTTTAACTGCAGACTGTCAGCTTTAATTTGAGGGTATTTACATCCAAATCAGGTGGACGGTGTAGGAATTACAACAGTTTGCATATGTGCCTCCCACTTATTAAGGAACCAAAAGTAATGGGACAGAATAATAATCATAAATCAAACTTTCACTTTTTAATACTTGGTTGCAAATCCTTTGCAGTCAATTACAGCCTGAAGTCTGGAACGCATAGACATCACCAGACGCTGGGTTTCATCCCTGGTGATGCTCTGCCAGGCCTCTACTGCAACTGTCTTCAGTTCCTGCTTGTTCTTGGGGCATTTTCCCTTCAGTTTTGTCTTCAGCAAGTGAAATGCATGCTCAATCGGATTCATGTCAGGTGATTGACTTGGCCATTGCATAACATTCCACTTCTTTCCCTTAAAAAAACTCTTTGGTTGCTTTTGCAGTATGCTTTGGGTCATTGTCCATCTGCACTGTGAAGCGGCGTCCAATGAGTTCTGAAGCATTTGGCTGAATATGAGCAGATAATATTGCCCAAAACACTTCAGAATTCATCCTGCTGCTTTTGTCAGCAGTCACATCATCAATAAATACAAGAGAAGCAGTTCCATTGGCAGCCATACATGCCCACGCCATGACACTACCACCACCATGCTTCACTTATGAGGTGGTATGCTTAGGATCATGAGCAATTCCTTTCCTTCTCCATACTCTTCTCTTCCCATCACTCTGGTACAAGTTGATCTTGGTCTCATCTGTCCATAGGATGTTGTTCCAGAACTTTGTAGGCTTTTTTAGATGTCATTTGGCAAACTCTAATCTGGCCTTCCTGTTTTTGAGGCTCACCAATGGTTTACATCTTGTGGTGAACCTTCTGTATTCACTCTGGTGAAGTCTTCTCTTGATTATTGACTTTGACACACATACACCTACCTCCTGGAGAGTGTTCTTGATCTGGCCAACTATTGTGAAGGGTGTTTTCTTCACCAGGGAAAGAATTCTTCGGTCATCCACCACAGTTGTTTTCCGTGGTCTTCCGGGTCTTTTGGTGTTGCTGAGCTCACCGGTGCGTTCCTTCTTTTTAAGAATGTTCCAAACAGTTGTTTTGGCCACGCCTAATGTTTTTTGCTATCTCTCTGAGGGGTTTGTTTTGTTTTTTCAGCCTAATGATGGCTTGCTTCACTGATAGTGACAGCTCTTTGGATCTCATCTTGAGAGTTGACAGCAACAGATTACAAATGCAAATAGCACACTTGAAATGAACTCTGGACCTTTTATCTGCTCATTGTAATTGGGATAATGAGGAAATAACACACACCTGGCCATGGAACGGCTGAGAAGCCAATTGTCCCATTACTTTTGGTCCCTTAATAAGTGGGAGGCACATAAGCAAACTGTTGTAATTCCTACACCGTTCACCTGATTTGGATGTAAATACCCTCAAATTAAAGCTGACAGTCTGCAGTTAAAGCACATCTTGTTTGTTTCATTTCAAATCCATTGTGGTGGTGTATAGAGCCAAAAATGTTAGAATTGTGTTGATGTCCCAATATTTATGGACCTGACTGTAGGTCCACTAAGTGACTGGCTGTTTGAACCTGCCAGTTGGACAGGAGTGACAGCAAAAGCTACGCACCAGTACCGTTTAACAAGAAGTATATAGGCCCGTGTTGACAGGCTTTTGCCAGTTTCCATACTGGAGTTGCAAAACTCACTTGAAGCAGTTCAGAAGGTTAACTGCACTTGTCAGTGTATATTATAAATAATCTCAGAGGTATTTCAAACTGATGTCAAATGACATTGATCGGAGGTAGGGTATCAGGAGGGTTTAGGTCCACTTTTAAGACTTTTCACCAAATGCAGTACATGGTTTTAACAAATCCATAATAATGTTCAAGAAATGCTTTCTTTACCTGTATTAAATGTATTTTTTTCCCTTCTAGAACAAGGATATTTAGAACTTTTTCTGAATTCGTCACCAGATGCTAAATGAAGTCCATATTCGTGATGGTATTGGCACATATAAAAGGCAAGTTTCACTTAAGACAACTGTCTCACAATTTTTTTTTTTTTTTTTTTTTTTTTAATTTCCTCTTACCTTTACTCAGAGACAAAACTTTTGATAGGCTCAGAACCAGTGAGTTAATTCCACCCATTTTCAGGAGTAGGATACTAGGTGCAGAATACTGAATAGGCAGCTAGGAGGACAGCCCCCTTGAGTGGCTTAAACTCCCTCCCACTGCTGTCAAGGAATTTGTTTTTTTTTTTTTTTGGATAGTTTAGCGTAGTAAAGACCTGTTTTTCTTGAAGTTCCGGAGCCTCCTTCATAGGCTGTTTCTTTTTATCAAGGGACTGTCTGGTAGGATTTTTTTCCCTTGTCATCTCCCAAATCTAGCTTTGTGCGTCTCTGTATCTTGTTTTCCACCCAGACTCATGGTGACCACTGTCTCTTCACATGTACAGTGGCTCGCCTTTTTTGCTTCTATGCACTTAAATGGATATGACAGGTAATGTTGGTTTGCTTGTCACTTTTTCTCTTGTAAGGCCCCATGCATGCTGGGCATTTAGCCCCAGTGCATGGGGCTTTGGTATTCAGCTGTGGGCGGAGGACACAGGTGTCCCATCCAGCCCTTCTGTCAGCAGCCTGTAAAACGGAGTTTGACTGCAGCTGGGTGGTGCACAGAGCTGTATAAAAGTTTTCAAGCCAGTTTTTAGGTGTGTGCTCAGGGACAAATGCCCAGAATGCAGGAAATCTTCCAGGAGTTCATCTGTGAGCGTATCCCACCCTAAATAGTATGTACAGCTAGGTGCACCGTCTTCCTGCAACAGCTGTCAGACTTTCATAGTTTTACAGGCTGCTGGTGGTGGGGCTGGGTGGGACACCGCCTGATGTTAAACGCCAGAGCCCCATGCATCTGGGCTAAATTCCCAATGTGGATTGGGACCTAAGGCTGCAGGGCCCCAAATATCTGGATTCTGAAAGCTGTCTTGCCCCATCTAACTCCATATGACTAAATTTTTTTTACTGTTTTCTCTTATGGCTGCATGCCATGGGTGTCTATTATGTTTTAATTTTCTTGCCACTTTGGTGTCTTTTTCTTCATCTTTTTTTTTCCTTTTCTTATTTCTGTTTTAGTCTCCGCTGCCTGCGTGCCTTTGCTTAGCTAGTCAACAGGTTGCACTGTGACGGTGCAGCCATGTCAATTCTATCTGCACAATTTCCACTTCTGCCTGATCAATGAGATGCAGTACATGTGCACCCTGGGGCCCATGGCTTTCAACTTTTGATGCAGCTGCACTTTCTCTTTATATTGCAGTAGTGTAGCCCTATTCGAACCTGTGGTTTATTTTCTTTTTACTGACGTCAGTCTTTTCTTCCCTTGGGTAGCTGTCGGTACATATAGTACTCTTGTATAGTGGTTTACTGTTGGTGATTTTATTTTTTGTACAGGGACTTGTGCCTTTACTGAGTAACATGTCTGATGCCAAGAAGAGATCCAGACGTCCACTGCTGTTTGACCCCTCTGCTTCGGGTCCTTATGTGTGTATTGTTTGCCACACTACCACAGACGCTAACCAGGTAGATTCCCTTCTTGCGTCTCTTCCATCCTTCACCCTGGAATCCCTGACTTCAGTTATGGATGGGTTTGTGTCTGATTGTTTATTTCTGCTCCTGAAAGAGTGTCTTGATGATGTCCTCCAGAGTCTCCTTTCAATTCATACTTGTCTGAAGGTGAAGGTGCTAAGGTGTTGGTTGGTCATGAAGTTAGTTACTTTTTTACCATCACGAAAACTCTGAGACCTGTTTTAGCGTTGGCTCTGGTCTCTGATTATCACAGAGTGGGCCAGACTTTGCGCATGGCCCTTGCAGCAGAACGGGATCCCTCTACATTGCTGGCATTGATTGACCAAATGGTTCAAGCCCTAAATTTTTTTGTGTAGGCGCTTTGGACTCTAGTTGTTGTCTTGCTTTTTTGCTTCTACAGTAGTTTTTGTTTCGAATTGTGCAGGTATGTCGATCAAGCTTTTTTTAAAAAAAAAACTAACTATGTATGATCTCATCAAAAACTTTACTGGAATCAAGAATACCCTTCTTTCCCAGCTCAAAAGGTCTCACAAGAAGAGGCATAAGCCTGGACCCTTGGTTACAGCTCACAGACATTCCTCTTGTTCCCATGGGAACTCTGACAAGGTAGTTAAACAGGTCATAGCCTCTGATTCCTTGTGATCTCAGCATCTTTGCAGAAAGGTCCTGCGTTCTTACGATCACTACATTTTTATAAGGTAGATGTGGGTGCATTGGCTGCTGCTATGGCTGTGACTGCAGTTCTACAGTCAGCAGTGTAATTTTATCTGTGTACGTTAAGGACTTTTTTTAGTTGATGTGTTGCCCACTCCTCTTGTTTGGTATTGCCTGTTGACATCCAACTGGGGCAATTATTTCCTTGTATGGCCCTCTGCAGCAGCTAAAAGTTGGCGGCTTCTCCTCTCCCTCCCACTGGCTTTCAGCTGCTGTAGAGAGAGCCATCCGGGGGATCGATTCCAGTAACTGCACCCATAACCATCCCTGTTCACCATATGTTTCCCCCTGCTGCCCAGGTCCCCCCTGTGTGCCCCTACCCCACAGTGCCACTGCCTCCCTTCTATGCTTCCCACCAGCAGCTGCAAGCACATAATAGGATCCTTCAGGATGGATAGTGGGACAAGGTTCCTGTAAATGTCACATTTACCAGCCCCTTCCTTTCCTGAATGAACACAATGAGTGATCGGTACCAATCACTCGCTGTGTTCATTCATAACTGAAGCATAGTAAACTGTTTTTTTTTGGGGGGGGGTTTATTGGGGGGCCCTGTCAGGTTGGCTGTATGGAGCCCCGTGGTTTCTAACAGCAGTTCTGCTCAATGAACTCGGATAAAATAGTTTTACGGAAAGTGCAAAATTCTATTTTTTTTTTTTTCCCCTCCCTTTGCAAAATTTGAATTACGATTGTTTACCTTGGTCTACTTTTTCTAAGTAGTGTCCTGTAGTTTGTATGGTGACTTATAAAATGATAGCTGCAAACAATGGATTATACAGTTACAGTAAGGGTGTTAATATGAACTGATGCCACATGCTTTTTTTCCGGTTTTTTTGAACCAAAATTTACTTTACATAGAGTTAGGGATCATTCTGATGATGAGGTCTTCTTTGAATGAGTTCTGGTTTTCCTTGTTTTTCCTGCTGCAAACATTTGCAATGCCATGAAGAAATTGCTGCAGCCACTCATCTTTGTGTGATTCCCTGCACCTGGCACTGCAAAGGTGATGGGGTGCCTCTCTAATGTGGTCAGTGTTGCAGCTGGAGGGCCACTGGATGTATGTCCAGAACCCTTGAGGTTAATTTGCTGTGCCTTGGATGTTGTGGAGGATCATCCCATGCAGAATCCACCTTCACCATGTTTGGATAAACTGTCTTTCAAACGTTGCTGTATATGGTGTTATAGCTGAGTCTTTTTGCTAAACAGCAGGAACTACAGGGCTCACAGGAGTAATAGAGCTCATTTCTCTTTCATGGAATGATGGAGGGTATTCCCCTCACCTCTTCACCTGTAGATGTGTCAAAACATTCTTTCTAATGTTTGGAAATCCATTAGGCACCCAAAAGAATTGTGGGACCTGTGAACAGCAAAAATCTAGAGTGCTCTCTCATATCAAAGCAATATTAAATCCAAAACCAAAAAATGTAATATAATGCATATTCTCCTGTGTTTTCATTTGATAATCTGGTGAGTAACATACCACTGGTGTTACAGTGCCCTCTCTCTGAAAGAATGAACAAAGGAGGCAGCAACATTGACAGCCTGGGGGTGGCGGAGTGTTGGATTTACTAGCAAATTTAGATACACTAACAAATGTAGGCCAAGTTAATGCTTTATGAGCAGTTACAGCAATGTTTAGGTTTTTTGTTTTTCTTTTGAGATAAAAGTTTTACATAAGTAAAGGCTTGTCATTGTAAGCACCCTGTTAGTGTCACCCTAGGTTCACACCTAAGCGTTTTCCGCTGTGTTTCGCAGAAACACACTACAGTCTATTGAACATGATTGCCTATGGGACACATTCACATATCCGCGTTTTCACCGTGTGGTTTTTGGAAACTGTCAGGGACTTTTTCAAATGCAAAAAGTTGCGTTTTTGGTTCTATAGACTTCAGTGAAAACACTGCAGCAAAGCATGTAGTGTGTTTTTGCCACATTTTGCGTTTTAAATCTGCCTAGTGACAAGAAATAAAAAAAAAAATATGCAAAACGAACTGCAGAAACGGATCAAATGCAAACTGCATAGGTGTGAACCTAGCCTTAAATGGTTTGTCCAAATGCTGTAACTGATGCATTTGGAGGAGAGTTTGTTCTTTTGAAAAACAGACATACCGGCCAGATCACCAGGTAAAAATAGAATAAAGCCTAAAAAGACAAATGCAGCCATCACATTTAAGAATTGGTAAGCTGCAATAAAATAAATGTTCGCTTTTTGGTTTAGCACTGCTTTAATTTAAATGTGTCAGAAACAAAAACCTCATGTGGCAGGAGTTAAGATTAGCTCCTCTTGTAATCATTGTCATCAATGTTCAGATTCAAGAGAAATTAACTGGCATAATTTTTTTTTACTCTGTTCCTTTTATCTCTCTGATCTGTTATATAAAAAGAATAGTAACAAAATAAAAAACAGATCACACTGCATTAATAATCCCAGGTATAACTTTTTGGTTCTGTGTCAAGTCTACAATACTAGCCAATTGTAAAATAATCACATTAAAGTCTTTCAGCTAGTGTTTAGATCTGTAGTAGTAGGAGACATTGTGAGTATCTGGGGAAAAAAAGTGTTTGCTAATTCCCCAAGGGAACACTTGCAAGATGCTGATATCATTTAGGCTCAGTACAATGCTATGATACAGATATTACCATTTGAATCCATGTAGTGTGCTTAAACCAGAACACCCGGGAGATTTTTTTTTTTT